CAGTGTGCTTAGATTAAATATATCGCCCCTTTGTTTCAGGGAATTGTTTGCTGTTGAGTAGTACAGTCAAATGTGAGACAGCAACAGCTTTATTAGTTATACAGAAATTTATAGTATGCTGTACGCTTCTGACTCCGTTTTCATTTTTTCCGTGCCTGTTTTTGAACTGTTTTATGACAAAATGTTGAGCCTAACTAATTACGTTCAACTGTATAGTCAATGACAACGTGCCCTTTGGTGATCGTTACAAGTTAATTTGGCATATTTTGAAAGAAAAGAGGTAAGAAAAAAAATTCATTTTTAGGCCAGGGAGGTGTTCAAGTACTTGAGGTTTAGAATTAATGGTTCGACCTTCAACGAGTTTAAATTGTAGCTAATTAAGCATATACAGGTGTTTTGTCCCATGATGGGTTCAAGGGGTAAGGAGAGATTCATTCAACCTATTAACTATAAGTTCGATTTTCATCGTTAACTTTTAAAATATGATATATATATTCGATTAACTTTTAAAAAATGAGAGAACATTATTGTACAAAAAAAGAGTGCGTGAGTGCGTGCGTGGGTGCGTGTCTATATGCAAATTGATGGCATCTAGTGATATCAGCAGGAATTTGACATAATCAATCCGTCGCATTTAAATTCCTTTCTATCCTGACACTTTCCTCTGTATTATGATTTCTTCAGCTCTCCAGTCTTGCAGGGTTGCACACTCCAATTGTTTCAGAAAACAGTTGGCTCTAACTGATTACTAGGTATCATCACTAGCAAGTTGCAGCATGCACGACATGATACTAGCTTTCCTGACAAGAATAGATTCATGTATTCTACCCTATAACCAGAAAGTTATTGCTGATAGGCAAAACCTAATCTGGCTACAAGCCAAGTGTTCTTTAAAAATTCCCTTCATTATTAATGTATCATTTCTGCGAAGCTTCATGCAGTGCAAGTCAATCTCAAAGCACTGAGGAACATGTAAATAAAGAAAAGATCATATGCTGTGGCCCCAAGTAAATCGTGGTTAAATTCTACTCGTTGCTGAGAATGGCTGAGACAGATCAGTTATATATATATATATAAAAAACTCAATAAACCTAGCTTTCAATGAAAAAAAATATATTCACGTGGGTAAGTTTATACAAAGTTCAATGCTAGTAATTTTGTTTTTGGTCAGGAAAGATGCCAAATGGTAATTAGGGTTGGTGAGAATTTCTTGGAATCATGTAAAGCCGAAGGAGAAGAATTTCTTCCCGATAGGATTCTGTTTTCTTTATGATTGTTGCTCTCACGTTTCCTGATGATCTTAGCTGCTTTCGACGGCTACCTAACACGGGGATTAATGTTAAATACTGTATGAACAACAAAGAAATTTGGAATGCTTTTATTTTTCGGTGACCAAACCAAGAATAAAGTTGTTCCCTTACCAAGAAATACAAAGCTTTAGCCACGAATGGATTATGAGTTAATGATGACAGATCAATCAGCTTTATTTAAGTACTAATTAACAAAACCCTTTTTTTTCCCCAGGTGTTTAGGACCATAAAATAGAAACATTTTTAGGAATTACAATTATCTATGAATTACGGATTCCAGTTGTGCTAATGGTGTTGCAGTACTCTTCACAGATTCGATTCCTTCTCTCAACCTCCTGTTATGTCTTTTGTGGTCATGCTTTTGTCTCCCTTTGCATGTGGGAATTAATTTGTAAGAATGTCAGGTCTATGATTTCTGGGATTGGAAATATTTTTTCTTTATATTTAAGATAGTTTTAGAGTTTCAAACCTTCTTAAATTGATATTCTTGAAAAATAGATAGAGAAATCATATCTATCTCGAGTTTTTTTAAAAAAAAATTAAAAAATAATTGAAATATAATTATCTCGAGTTTTTTTATAAAAAAAATTAAAAAATAATTGAAATATAATATTATTAATTTGAATTTCATTATAAAAAATTAAAACATGCTTCAATTCTTGATTTCTAGTTTTTGAGAATTTTGTAATTTCAGTATGGATAAAATAAAGTACACGTGCCGTGAATCACAATTAAAAATAAGGATGTCTAATTAACTTGCTAAGCTGTCATATGTGTAATGAATTTATGAATAAATAAAGGATGATTTACAACGCTACAACAAATTTGAATAGTTAACAATGATGTTTGTTTTCTAATTAGTAGGATAAGTTACTTGATTATCTTAACATCCTTGAGATCCAAGTCAATCAACATTGAAATTAATTAAAAGGGGTAATAAGAAAAAAAGTTAACACTAGCTTAACTAATCATCAGATTCAGAATTTATTTACCAAAAATTATCAATTTAAATATCATAAGTTTTAGGATCATTATAGATTTAAATGGCCATTAACTTTAGAAAATCAAAAAAATTAGTTAAAATACATGTGAATTAATATAGATATTCATAATTAAAAAAAAATCAAAATACTTGATGGGATGCTAGGCTGCCCCTAGGAACTACATGAAAATTAAAAACCCAAGATCCCTCTCAAACAGTTTTCGAGGAGTGGATTCAGCATTCTACAGCGCGAGAGGATGCTTGGTCATAATGAGGGAACATGCTCTTGGTGTAGGACGAAACCAGCCTGTGGCCCATAACACAAAAGCATGCCTCCTCTCTCTTCACTTATACTCAAGGAGGTCTCATAATGCTCACCTTGGATTGTTTTCTATGTTTCTGAGGACGGATTCCTCTCCTCGTTTAAAACCTTCTTCTTCTTCTTCCTTTCCCATCCCATTAATTATTATGTTTCATTAACAGTAAGGATAGTATTAGCACCTGCATGTGCTAATCACAAGGCATGCCTTTCTTCTTTCCTTTTAATCACTGCTTTTAGCTTTTCATAGTATTAAATCATAGCTTTTTTTTTTTTTTCTTCTCTCCTATTTATGCAACCTTTTGACCCAAAATACTAGAGCTTTGCTTCACTCTTGCTGGACCTCTAAGATAAACAAATTCAAACAACTAATTAATGTGCATCTATCTTTTCTTTGGAGAGTTTGGGGAGAGACGGGGAGGGGATTCTTTTGGAGTACTTTATAGTTTTATAAAGAGAATTTATTCATAATTTGAATTATGTTAAAACAAAGAATAAAGGGTTTATTGCAGGTAAAAATCTTTAAAAGACTAAACACATGCAAAATATGGGAAGATGATCAAAATATTCAATTTTTATTTATTTATATCATTACTTGCCAAAAAAGCTATTACAACTTTTTATATAGAAAGAAAATGGAAAACCCTAATAATATCGAATAGAAAAATGAAAGTAGGAAAATTGTTCAACCCAAATAGAAAAATAACTAAAAAAGCATCATAATATAGAATAAAAAAATAAAAAAAAAAGTAAAATTAACAAAGGAAAATATATATCTTCCTAAAATATCTCATGCATCACAATTCTTGATTTCATGTTTGTTTTTTACGTATTTTTCTTGGCAATTTGTATAATAAGTCACATATTCTTAATTTTTTATTCGATTTGTTGCATGTTGTGGACTTTATATTATTTATTTATTTATTTATTGAGACATCCTTTTTTAGATGATTAATTTTAATAATAGACTTTAAATTCCATGAACTAAACATCGCCTATTTTTCCACCTTCTATAAAATAAATTTGGAAATAATAAACCTCATTTGATAGGAGGAGCTTATTGACTAAGAATTCAAAAATAAAATATATTTCACTATGGATGATTAGTTAGTTTCTAGGTCTGCATTTATTTTAAAGGTCTTCCTTCCCAACTGCAACCACATGATATTTTTTATTAAAGGTTGTGACCTGCAAGATCATCATTAATTAAAAAAAATTCATATAATAGTTAATTATATAGTATATTACTCCATAATTATTTTAATTTTAATGGATAGTTATAAAAAATGTCATATGATTTAATCTGGATTTTATATTTTCTATATTTTCATAAATTACACTTTACATACTCAATCAAATAAAAGGTTCAAATAAAATGTAATATTGAAGATGTAAACTGCTAATATATATATAATTTATGAAAATATAAAAAAAATCGATCAAATTATATATATATATATATATTAATTATATTCGATCAAATTATATATATATATATATATATATATTTTAATTATTCCTAATTTTAATTCCATGGTGAGAGTCAAATGAAAGTAATAATAATTATTAAAAAGGGTGGGGGGGACAAAGGCAACTTTCTTGCTCTCATTATCCCTAGGTGTGTTGGGAGTAGCAGTTGGTGGGTCACTGGCTCTTCAGACAATTTATTTTGCGGGGTCCAAATTTCACTACCATAAGTCATGTCTGTAGCGGAAATTCACACCCAAGTTTTGTTCTATCGTATCATACCCAAGACATCTTGTCATCCTCCTCCATGTCTTATATAACTGTTCTTAATTTTTTCCCAACTTTCTTACCTTATACTTAATGATTGATCTCCCTACATAACCAACTGTCTCGGGTTGGGTTAGACCTAATTCAAGACCCAAGTAATAAATAAATTGACTGATTTATTTTTTATTAACCTAAATTTTCGTGAAAAAACCTTGAATTTCTAGATTTTTAATTAAATTATTTTGGTTAGACCGGGTGAATCCGCCAAGTTGGTTTTTGTCTGTAATCAAAAGAAGTAACTATAAAGAAATTAATCCCCATCCCTTAAAAGCGCAATCAACGAAAATCCCATTACTCATTTTGCTCCTTCAATTAGTCTTCTCTCTTTATATTACTCACTGAAGCCAGGGAATGGAATGAAAGGCAGAACATGATCATGTCACAAACTCGAAAATGATGCCGGTATTCAGATTAGGTCCGGCCTCTTTTATGCCCTTGCCCTCCTTTTCTCCCCGTCTTTATTTTAATTTTATTTTTTTTAACATGAACTGGCAGCTCAATCTTCTATTTATTTTCTTACAATCTTCTATTCTTTTCCTACTTAAGATGCATAATTTAAGGTGTGTGAGAGAGAGAATCATGTTAAATACAAATGGGATGCCAGGAAAATAGATTTCCTTGCCTGCTCTCTCCTTATTTATCTCCTTTTAATATGAATTTCCTTTGTAAAAAAAATTAATTAAAAAAATAGGCACCTACCCCTCGCCAGCCTTTAAACTATGCATTTTCTTCTTGCTGCAGGCCAAAAGCCAAAAGAGAGACTCCCATCTCTCTTAACACTCAGATCTCTCTCTCTTTCTCTGTCTCTCCCTCTCTCTCCATAGTGAAGAACCCAATTGAAGTTTATTCCATATCTTCATCAAAAGAATTGTTCTTGTTCTTTACAATGAGAGATATAGTATCTTGTTTTAGTGAAAATGCCATAGATGTGTCGCATTCTTCATGTTCTAGTTTCTCACATAATGCCTGTATCTCTCCAGGTCTAACCCCGTCTGTCCAAAACGCAGTCTCTTGTTTCTATAAGATCATCCTCTCAACTCAAAAACAACTCTTGGCCACTGTTTCTTGGTCAAAAAACCACACCAATCAAGGCCTTAGCATTAAATTTGGCAATGACCCTTCAGCTTCTTTCAAACTCGGCACTCATACCAGGTTCTTTAGAAAGCTGAAAGGCAACAAATTGATTGAATCTGACACTTCAAAGATTGAAGTCTTCTGGGATCTTTCTTCTGCTAAATATGGGTTAGGACCTGAACCTGTTGAAGGGTTTTATGTCCTGGTCATGGTTGATTCAGAAATAGGCCTGATTCTGGGTGATGTAGGAGAAGAAACTTTGACCAAGAAGTTCAAAACTAGCAGTACCTCAGTTGCTAAAGTCAGTCTAATTTCAAGGCAAGAGCATTGTTCAGGCAATACTATATATGCTACAAAGGCACAGTTTTGTGAAACAGGAATTCAACATGACATTGTGATCAAATGTAGTGGAGAAACTGAAGGCTTGAAGCATCCTGTATTATCTGTATATATTGATAAGAAGACGGTGATCCGTGTAAAGAGGCTGCAATGGAATTTTAGAGGCAACCAGACAGTTTTTCTTGATGGATTGCTTGTTGATCTGCTTTGGGATGTCCATGACTGGTTCTTTAATCCTGGTTCCGGCTATGCTGTCTTCATGTTCAGGACAAGAAGTGGCATGGATAGCAGACTCTGGTTGGAGGAGAAATTGGTGCAGAAAGAGCAAGAAAGGGTCGAATTCTCTTTGTTGATTTATGCCAGTAAGAGCCCTTGAAGAAAATTACTAACTTATTCATTTTTTTTTCCTTTGATTTTAAGTGCCATTTTTTTGTTTTCCTTTCATCTTGAAAGGCATAGATACTTGAATTCTTGTGATCATATAAGAAATAATTTTAGTTGTTCAGAAGCAGAAATGTGAAATTCTGATGTAACATTTAATTAGTTGTTGCTTGATTTATATTTCTCTGTCTCTCTTTCTCATTTTTTTTTCTGGATCATTCTGTCTTTTTTTTTCTAGGCTAGGATGAAATTGAGTTTTTTTTTTTTACCAAATTATTAGTTTGATATCAAAAATTTGAAGGGCTAGTGAGTGTGATTATTTGGCGAGGTTCAAATGAGCTAAAAGGGGAAACAAAAGATACCCTAACAAGGTTTTAGGGATTTTGAAGAGTATCAAGGAAGATTTGACAAAAGGGCCAGGGTGAGGAAGATTGTAAAGGATCACGATGAAGATTGCTTTTTTCGGCTTGAAAGGGACAAAATAAAGTTGAATATCATGACAGTGATCGCTACATTTTTACCAGTTATGGATTGTTTTTTTCATTTTTGTTTTCTTATAGTTCAAGGAAAACACCTTATGTTTTTGCTTGAAAATTTCTCCAAGGTCATTAAAAAATCTCTGTTAGGTGTTTGCCGGCATTTCTTTCCTTTTTTTTTCTTTTCTTTTTAAAAAACCGGAGGTACAGTAATGAATTTTAGACTGCCTATTTCCAATTCCTAAATCCCCTTATCCTATCTCATTTTGAAAACATAAAATAACATAATATTGTTTACTTTAGAGAATTTTACGAATTGAATGTATTAATTTCTATATTTTTTAAATAAATATGTGAATTCTCAAGGCTGTAACAATTTAATAAAATTAGTGTTTTCATTGTCATTAGTGTCATACCATCAATTATCCACCATATTATCTCTTAAATTAATGCCATAAATTTAATATTTATTTGAAGAAAAAAAATATCGGCATATTTATTATAAATTTTTTTAAAATACACACTCTTAAACATCTGAAGTTAATTTTAACTGCTGACGGGACTGTTGTTTCAAGGAATTTCCAGAGGATGTGCAAGGTTGTCTGACCTCGGATAATGTCCTTTTTCTTGTCTGACACTTGCAAGGCCCCGAGGCATTACCCTACCAGAATAGAGGCTGAACCATGTTTTCTCACAATCCACAACTAGACTGGGAAATTCTTACTATGCTCTGGATCCACATTTTTAGTGTATAGATGTTGAAGCAGTTGAGGCTTTGAAAAATTAAAGCTAGCGCCGTGCAATTAAGCCAAGTATGAACAAGCTTGTGATCTCTAGGCATGAGGCAGCTTAATTCAATTTTTTATCCAAAAGAGCTTTGGCCCACAAATTCAATTCAAGCTTGTGACACTGCAATTCTTTTAATTTCAACCTCCAGACTTGTATTTATTCCAAACAGGTTGCTAGTAAGGGTGTTTAGGAAAGCTTTCGTTTTTTTTTAATGATTTTTAAAAGTGTTTTTAACTGGAAAAATTATATTATATATTTTTTTATAATTTTATAATTTTAAAGTATTAAGAAAAAACTCATTTTCATATCATAAGCTGCAATGATAAAAATTTTGATTTTTTTAAATTAATATTAATGTCTAAAGTAGCTTATATATATCTTAATTAATTTTAAATATTTTAAATTAATAATTATATAAAAATTTAATAATTTTAAAATTTATAAAATTTAAATTAATAAAAAAAAATATAAAACCTGAATAATTAAAAATTCACCATTTAAATTATAATAAGAAAACTTCAATAATACTTTAATTTGTCTTCACTTGGCGGTAAATGGCGTGACACTTTATTTCTCAAGGTCCGTTCTTCCTGGTCCCTCAGCCTTCATATTACCATACGGCCCACAACTAAAACTAATGTCTGTGTAAGTAGGACAGGCAAGATTCCATTTTCACAAGAAGTTGATTCTCTACAAATCTTAGACGTTTAATTTTCATAGAACACTCACTCCTTTTTACTGTGCTTGCGATTTAAGCCGTGTAAGCATTCTTCTTCTTCTTTTTTACCGGTCCACCCAAATATCATCAATTTCCTACACATACCAAGCTAGGGCATAATTATTAATGTTAAGAAAATTGTTATCAGGTTCTAATCTCGTGATTAACTCTTGATCAGATGATATATCTATATTTGATTTATTTATCCGTAGAGATACCTTAAACTTCGATATCAACGTAAAAACAATGGAACTTCTCTAGTACGCATGGATATGGAATAATAGGTGTTTGTTCTTGTTTTTTTTATTTAGATTAACGAGGGTGTCTAGGTCAGCTTGCACGCACCACGACTAATCCCACGAGTTCTGAAGATAACGACCATGTAAGCCTTCAGTGGCCATCATATGAGCAACCAAGGACTCGATATCAGTTTCTAATCTTGTGATTAACTCTTGATCACATAATATATCTATATTTGATTTATTTATTTGTAGAGATACCTTAAACTTCGATATCAACGTAAAGACAATGAAATTTCTCTAGTACGCATGGATATGGAATAATAGGTGTTTGTTCTTGTTTTTTTTATTTAGATTAACGAGGGTGTCTAGGTTTTACTGTGCTTGCGATTTAAGCCGTGTAAGCATTCTTCTTCTTCTTTTTTACCGGTCCACCCAAATATCATCAAGTAAAGACAATGAAATTTCTCTAGTACGCATGGATATGGAATAATAGGTGTTTGTTCTTGTTTTTTTTAATTTCCTACACATACCAAGCTAGGGCATAATTATTAATGTTAAGAAAATTGTTATCAGGTTCTAATCTCGTGATTAACTCTTGATCAGATGATATATCTATATTTGATTTATTTATTCGTAGAGATACCTTAAACTTTGATATCAACGTAAAGACAATGGAACTTCTCTAGTACGCATGGATCTTGAACAATAGGTGTTTGTTCTTGTTTTTTTAAAGATAGAAGAAGACGAGGGAGGGAGGGAGGGAGAACCCATTAACATATCGAGACATGTAAAAAGGGTCTGGAAAAGGAGAAAAGAAAAGAAAAGGAGTTGGTAAAAGGCAGAAGTTTGTGAAGACGAGAATGGTAGCTAGGTAGGCTAGATTTGCTTTGTGAAATCTTCACGTTGCTTCCACTAACTGCACTGTGAGGCTGATTCTGATTGTAAGTTAGTGCCAGGGAAGGTCCAGGTGTTCTTGAATTTCTCTACGATGTCGTATTTTCGAACTGACAGTAAATTCCGATACCCTTTTAATTTAATGAGAGCATCTGATAGCACAATGTGGTAATCATATCAGGCATGCAAGAATTTACTGTCTCTCTCAGATTCATTGCCAGTGAAAGTAAAAGCTGGTTAATTCTGCTCGAGCTTGAGGGCACTTCCAAGTTCCTAATAGCAAGAACTTCCACCGCATTTCAGTGTTTGGAGGGAGGGACTGCCATCTTAGCCAAAACTGTCAAGTAAAAAACTGCCAGGAAGATAGGCTGTTCGTGGGTGGATTGCCCATGCCCTTCATTTTCGTCCCCATTTTCTTGAAATATCTGGCACTAGCTGAAAAGGGAAAATCCCAAACTTTTTTTTTACCGGTCCACCCAAATATCATCAATTTCCTACACATACCAAGCTAGGGCATAATTATTAATGTTAAGACAATTGTTGTCGGTTTCTAATATCGTGATTAACTCTTGATCAGATGATATATCTATATTTGATTTATTTATCCGTAGAGATACCTTAAACTTCGATATCAACGTAAAAACAATGGAACTTCTCTAGTACGCATGGATATGGAATAATAGGTGTTTGTTCTTGTTTTTTTTATTTAGATTAACGAGGGTGTCTAGGTCAGCTTGCACGCACCACGACTAATCCCACGAGTTCTGAAGATAACGACCATGTAAGCCTTCAGTGGCCATCATATGAGCAACCAAGGACTCGATATCAGTTTCTAATCTTGTGATTAACTCTTGATCACATAATATATCTATATTTGATTTATTTATTTGTAGAGATACCTTAAACTTCGATATCAACGTAAAGACAATGAAATTTCTCTAGTACGCATGGATATGGAATAATAGGTGTTTGTTCTTGTTTTTTTTTTTTTAGATTAACGTGAGTGTCTGGACCAGCTTGCGTGCACCACGACTAATCCCACGAGTCCTGAAGTTAACGACCATGTAAGCATTCAGTGGCTATCATATGAGCAACCAAGGACTCGAATATGAGATTACAGAGGAAGCAAACCCCTTGATCCCAATCTCTTACCACTTGGCCATCACTTAGATGATTGTTTGTTCTTGTTTTTTATAGAAGAAGACGAGGGAGGGAGGGAGAACCCATTAACATATCGAGACATGTAAAAAGGGTATGGAAAAGGAAAAAAGAAAAGAAAAGGAGTTGGTAAAAGGGAAAAGTTTGTGAAGACGAGAATGGTAGCTAGGTAGGCTAGATTTGCTTTGTGAAATCTTCACGTTGCTTCCACTAACTGCACTGTGAGGCTGATTCTGATTGTAAGTTAGTGCCAGGGAAGGTCCAGGTGTTCTTGAATTTCTCTACGATGTCGTATTTTCGAACTGACAGTAAATTCCAATACTCTTTTAATTTAATGAGAGTATCTCATAGCACACTGTGGTAATCATATCAGGCATGCAAGAATTTACTGTCTCTCTCAGATTCATTGCCAGTGAAAGTAAAAGCTGGTTAATTCTGCTCGAGCTTGAGGGCACTTCCAAGTTCCTAATAGCAAGAACTTCCACCGCATTTCAGTGTTTGGAGGGAGGGACTGCCATCTTAGCCAAAACTGTCAAGTGGTTGCTGCCAGGAAGATAGGCTGTTCGTGGGTGGATTGCCCATGCCCTTCATTTTCGCCCCCATTTTCTTGAAATATCTGGCATTAGCTGAAAAGGGAAAAACCCAAATATCCCTGCTCAAATAATTTTTAAAATGATATTAATTTAAGTGTGTCCAGCTGTCTCCCAAGTGCTTCCCACGTGTCTTCATCAGCAGTCTCTATGATTATCAGCCATTGGATTGTATTTCTAGAATTGTCTTAACCTTCCTTTTCATTTCTTCTCCAGACACGCATCGTTTCTTCTTCCTGATCTCCCTGCATAATAAAATCAGGGTCCGTCACACTACCGCAGTACCAGACGGAAAACAAGACCTGCAAATG